TCAAATACTACTTTTTTACTCAATGGGAAAGGGAGAAAACAACCATGTCAGTGCTATGGATAAAACACCAACTATAACAAGGCAATTAGTCTTGAAGGCAGTGGGGTATTGAAAACTGATTCTTATAATTTATTCTGTATTACCAATCGTAATTGAATCACGGCTCATGATGCTATAAGGGTTTAAATCACTAAAACAAGCTTAGAAGAATTAAAATATCAAAGTAAGTAGCTCCAAACATGTACAGCATTAACTACATTGACACCTTCAGGAAAAAGTAAGTAAGATCTTACCTATTGTAAGAATATTAAAGGCGTCAAAGGTGATTATAAAACTAACTAAAAAAAGAACGAACAATGATTTTGATGGGATAATGATTAAAAAGGGGTAAGCAATTAAAAAGTAACAATTTTTTTGTTGATTATGAGTTGTCAAATGCTGTACCACCAGACACTATACGCGTGCCCAACCACAAGTAGGCACAAGGGACCTGTACACGTTGATTATCAGGGTGGTTTACCCAATGAGATATCGCTATTGTTTCACAGGCAAATTTTTAGCCAGTTTAACTGTTAACACTGCTGATTTTTTTTCAGGGATTAGGGCAGTATTTACCAGATTTAAAAGAGTAAACAGAACCCTAACTTTTGTAGTGTCTAGTGTTACTTTGAAAAATTCTACTAAATTTTGAGAACCCATCTTGTATAAATACCAATCAATAATAGTTCATGATTCATGATTCGTGATTCGTGATTTCTCTATTCATGAAATTATTCTTTGGTGGTGGCCAGTTAATATTATTTTCGCTACACTGCTATAAGATAACCTGTTTTTGTTACAAGTTTATCACCTGCGAAAACTCATTTGAGGCATTAAACATGTACTCCTACGGCAAAAGAATATATGCTATGTGAAAGTAGTGTTTACTATTTTTTCGATTTTACCGACGTAAACAAACAAATATTTGTTATTGTTTTATCAACTGTTTCAATTTCCAACTACTAAAGTAAATATGACCTGCAAATTGAGGGCATAACCTAAAAACATTTCTACGAGTTTTGTTATGAAGAAAATAATTATTCTTGGTAGTGTAGCGAAGAGAAGCGTTCAAAACACGAGTGAAAGTGGGTCTATACGTCATATCCTCGACCATTAAAAGTGCTTGATAAATCTCGCACTTCAAACACGGTCTCAAATATGTAATGACTCACTTTCTACTCTTGTTATGAAATCATACTATTAAGGAAGTCTTTTTCTGATTAATTTTGCATTTCCACAAGTAATTGTCCACCTTTTCCCGTGTTTTTGTAGTAATATTGTAATGTCTAGGGCATTTATCATCTAAAGACAATTTGAAAGTTAAGATATTATTAGATTTTAACAAATCGTAATGGAAAATTTCATCACTCACCAATAAAATAACCTTAAAGTTGCATTGTTAGTTTTTAAATAGACATTTTATTTACTTATTTATTTATTTATACACTAACCTTACACTGGAATACTGATCACTCTATAATAATGTGGAAATATAAAAATTAAATAAACTCATAACTAATCTTCAAATAACACACATACATTTTAGAATGTGGAATTATGTGCAGAACATATAACGAAACAGGCAGCCGCCAGCACTCACCCTGTAGGCTTAATATGGACACGTTTTTCATTTAAACTTTATTCAGAAATTCATACCGTGGATTTCAATAGCATTGCACGTGTGATGCAACGTTGAAAGCTTGATGAAATCTCTGTTTAGCATTTTATAACGAGTTTTTTTATAAATTTTTTAAAACAATTTGCATCATGGATGAAATTGCCACTAGTAGGTTGAATCTAATACTTTTGAATAATCTATACGCCTTTGAATTGTATTTACAGGTGTATTTTTCATATTAAAAAATAGTTTAGTTACATTTTTTTCAAATTATGTTTACGTAAATTAATATTGACAGTTGCATTACAAGCAGTTTTATGAGTTAGTAAAACAAAACCTGTGTACATATAAGCCACAAATGACGGAATGGCAGCCATCTAGAGCAACATAACAACAGTTTTTTCACATCCTTGGACGCTATCCCGGACGTACTTTTCATTTTTCATACGTATAATTAAGGCTAGACTAGAGTCACTGCATTATCACATTGAAGACATTATCGTAATGGTTATTAGCGGGATTTGAACCCGGGACTATGGAGCCGAAAGCCCAAGCTCTGGTGCTCTACTACTAACACCAACTCGTTTACATGATAAAAATCGGAAATTAAATATTTTGGAACTTTGACCATATTTAGGAGCTGTGAAATATTTAGGAGCTTTGGACATCTTTATGATTCATATCACAAGATTAAAATTACTTGATTCATACTGTATAACTCATTGAAAAATTACTTAATGCATACACTTCACTCTGCATCTATATGCTCAATTAATATTAAACTAAATCGAAACGCATTAAATTACCAATTCTAAAATAACTGATCTTAGGCATATTTTATTTAATCGTGAAAAATTGATCAAAACAAATTGCACTTAAAGCTTAAAAACGACCGAAAAATCTTTCAAAATGTATTTAAAGTACGAACAAACGAACGTAAACCACTCACTAGTCACCACTGTAGAACTGTTGACAATGTTAACACTGCAAAGACCAGAACCACACTCAAGCCTTTACCATGTAAATACAACGTAAAGAGTGGTTACACAATTGCTATAAGTTGAGTGATTGTTAAAGCTGTTTAGTAAAAATTATATCCATTTAGTTTAAATAATAAATTAAAGTTTACCATGTGTATTCTATGCCAATATATTATGAGTTCGTGCAAATGTAATTGACCGTTAAGTGTTTCCTGGTTTATTCTATTAATTATGAATTAATTCAACAAATTTAGAACATTTATTTAACACAATTTATTAACGATTGTTATTCCACGCAGTAAATAAATGGTATGGTCGGTAACAGTGGGCGTTTTTTATCATTATTGACTATTAACCGGCTGATTATGGAAATAAGTATGGATAAATTATCATCGGTGGTTAAAGTGCTTTTGCAATCCAAATTTTCTGTTATTCCTCATCCGAATAATTTTATTTTGTTATACACTTTTTATAAAACATACTTTTATTCGCACATTTTGCACATTTTTCTTGTTTCCAATTAAATATTTTATTATTTACTTAGATGCCTCTGGGCTTTGGTGACTTTTCTTCTCCATAATTACTGATCGGCAATGCTACAAGTACATGCCAATATAATTATCTAACGTTGAGGGTTTTGGTAACATTCTGAATCCAACCAGGTTTAATATAAGCATAAGCAACTTCCGATGTTTTTTCGAGCTAAATATGTGTCATAATTATACACAAAGGATTACGTTTGAATAAACATAGATGGTAATGCTTTGTGCCGTGTTGTACGGTTATTGGTTATTATAATGCATGTTATTTTATGGTTATTCCTCATATAAAATAAGATGAGTAAATACCTAATTGTAACATAATATTTATGAATAAACTTTATTTATAGGTATGTTTTCAAGGAGTTTAATTCTGTAGCATCTATATCTACTAATTAGGTTCGAAGGAGTGGTTGAGGTTTAAACCACCAACCAAAACCAAAGAAACGACATTCTTATCAAAGACTGTTATACGAGTTTGAATTTTATTCGTTTGCCATAAACGAAATCTTAACCGTCTAAAACGTTTTAAGTAAGGATCATGTATGCAAGAGATTGTAATACTGGGAACAAGATATAGGCAATGCTTCTTTATATTGAGAATTTTTTTTAAGAGGCCTCTTTTCATTTGTCCGTCCACATAGACTATGGGCCCGTGCGTGGAACGAATCAATGGGTGAGCCGGTTCAGTCCAAAAGTGAACTGTACTGATATTTGTACTGATATGGTAACAATATGTTTGTAGTGGCAGTGACCAGGAACCACCCACGACATCGCTGCCTTGGGCCCGAAGTCCGTGACGCTACCGACTAAGCCACCGACTGAGCCACCGACTCACCAGTTACGTGCATTGTTAGGGTATAAATATTCATACTTATATTTCAAAAATGCAATCAGAATAGAGTAACATATTGTGGGAATCCTATTTGATTATGTTTAGACTACGAGGACTCCTCTTTATGACAAACAAAGTATTTACTGAAGATGTACTTAACTATAACAACCATTTCATAGCTTGCGGGGAAAACTGTATGTATAAAATTACAAGAATCATTAACTTAGAAGTAATAATAATTTGCGTGATGTGATCCTCTTTCGTCGAAAGACAGTTTCATGTTGAAGAGCTCATTTTGTAAATGGATGCTCAACCAAATTAAGGGCGTGATTTCATAAAAACAAGTTGCAAAGTGGAACATTCGCCATTAAATTTTCGCAGTGTGCATTATTAAAAGCCCATTTAATCTAACTTGAAATGGTTGTTGCTTAGTGGTTTTGTAGAGAGGAGAAACAGTTTTTCAGCTTGAAAAGTGTAGTTTTGAAAATATTACTTTGGGGATTTATGCAGATTAAGCGAAACAAAAAAACGTTTAGTTTAAACTAAATGTATATGCGACATGGTCATCAGCTAATGTAGCTCAAGGTGTAAAATGTTGTGTGCATTAATCAACGATATTTTTTAATCATTCCTAGGCATCATACTCTAAAATAAAACCTTTTAAAACAATGTTGGATTTTATAAATCAGCAAAAACAAATGTAGATTTGTTAAATTTAAAAACCATCACCAATGCATTGTTTGCTGACAGCTTACAGCCAAAATAACCTAACAAAGTAAAAAACGTAACTGCTTCATTTTTGGTATTCCAGTAAAAACTCTATCTACATGACCAAGCATTGTTTGTACTGATATTTGTGTTATAAATATATTGTTGATCAACGTACACCTTATCAGACACATAAATTCAGTTTAAATATTAAGAGAAATAATTGGGGTGACCGTTAGTCTTACAGATAAAAATTTGTTCACACTGCGCAGTATTGTTATCAAGTATTGTAGAGCTAAACACTCGAAGTTAAAGGTTGGACGCATTCATAAGTCTGCAATGTCATCAGACATAAATAAAGAAGGTAAGTTTACCTAAGCTAGACAGTTTGCATAAAACTAGAGCCACAATAGTTTTTTTTTTTATTATGGTGTAAGTAAGTTAGGTTGGTTTGTTGTAAATGTGTTGCATACATTTAGAGTAAGCTAGAAGCAATATATTTGTGCACTGATTATTTTTTAACCTAAACTAGTTTGTGTACGAAATTGATGTATTAGTCAAACATCAAAATCATATTTAAAATTTTATCCTTTGTCAATTTGTCTAGATGAGATCGACAAATTTTGGTCTTACTTAAATGGAGAAAGCCCTAAAAACAAAAATGATCAGCAGAGTTATACAAGCAATTCGGTAAAAGATGAGCGAACGACCAGGTCCTTCGACAACGACTTCAATAAAACCATCGACATGAATGCCAATAAAAGATCAACCGAAGAAACTCAAAATGGAAAAGTAGAGTTTGATGTAACAAAAATGTTGAAAACATTTGAAGACATTGAAGCATTCGGATCAAGCGATGAGTTGGAACCTATTGAACTAAACTTATCGGGGAGTGAAGAAGACGAGTCATTGTCAAACGACAAGAGGATTGCTGAAGAAACTGACATCAGGAACAAATACGAGAAAGAAGAAGGTAATTTTCTGAGACACTAGGTGCTAGGCCATTTTCTATGCATTTAACAGCTTTACTAGTAAACTGTAACTCAAGATATATTTTTGATTATTTTTATAATACAAAATTTATAAAAAAATAATGCTTTATGTAGGCTTATGTTATTAGCTTGTTAGTTTACATTATAAAGCATTTAAGATACAGAGTTCAATTATGCTTTAGGATGTAATGGTACCCATTGAGCTTACATCTGATACGTGTTGAGCTATATCAATAATCTGATGTGTGATGTGCATTAGGTGAAAGCATTACTGCTAAATAAAAATCTCCTGCTCGTAAAGGCCCTTAACCCGAATAAATATCAAGCTATTCTCAGATTTTGACATGGCTTTTACATGGTGCTCTAAAAATTTAGAGTTATGGAAAATGTATCATCAAATGTTTAAAACAGTCAACTGCTAAATGCTTATACTGCTAACTATAATTAATTATGGCTAAGACATTAAACAGACGTTATCATTTTTAGATTAGCTAGCGACAGAAAAGGGCACATTTTAAGCATTGAATCATTTTGTTTGCTAAAGTAAATATTCTAATATATATCCAAAATGTAGCAATATTTTTTTTCAAACAGACCATTGCGAAATGTACTACTTACAGAGTGTGTCAAAGTTTCACTTCACCCTTGATTTTCGATGTGACATAACAAATACTATCCCTAATAATTAGTTGTCATTTCAGTTTGGGCTGGTTACAAAGTCGGTGATTTTGACAAGAGTTAGTTATTGACACCAACTCAATCTGATGTCAGTGGTTCAACTCGATTTTATTACTTTTAATTTATATACTAGTAAAAACTTAACATGGGAATGAGATGTTTGCTTGTATCAGTAGTCTAAGAGTGTAACCGTTGATGTTATTTGTACTACCCTTGAACAGAGGTCGACCGCCAGACCCCTCCACATAGGGAGGAAGAAAGCGACTCCGAGCAGGAATCGATGATGACACCGGTGAATCTGGCCCTTTCCGCTCTTCTCTCCGGAGGATTAGTCATGGCAGTAGTCCTAACCTTCAGGCTAATCTACATCATGGTAGGAACCGTCAAGAACTTGCTCGAGTATGTCGTCATGTTTGTCTAGAGAGTGACCATTGTCACACAGGTTTTGCCGATATTTATGTTCTTTGGTGTTTAGGTGTTTAAATAAATATTTATTCTTTCACAGTTGTTATTTTTATTATACAGGGACCTTAATTGTTCCTCCCTTTAGGTCTCATTTCTGTTTGATTAAAGTGTTTTTTGTAAGTCTACGCGTGTGCAAATTAATTATATCTATGTGTTTGGAGTACATGAATATCACATGAGTACGGGAAGGAACGAAGAATAAATTTAGAAAATTAATAATAAACTACAAATATATTTCACCTCCTCTGTCCTATACGCTGGATTATTATCTACAACACAAGCATAAACTGATAAGCTGGTGGAAGGTTTGTATGTTTATATATATATTCAAGAAAAAGTCATTAACTTTGCCATAAATAACATTGGCTCAGAAGGTACTTCATCCTAGATCATTCTAAACTCCTTCACTGATATTTGGGTTGAAATACGCACATAGTGGTATCCCTATCTTAAATAATTGATTGTTGATACTTCGAATGTAAGGTTATAAAGTCACTTATAAAAAAAATGTAAAATCGAACAGTGAAAAATAAAAGAAAACTTTCAAAGCAGTAAGGTTATATACACAGTCAAGCAACATAGGGAAATCCATTTTTATCCATTAGGATAAATTGGGAGACAACGTGTATGTTCTATTTATGGTAAACTCTTTTGAGTCTTTATTATACTTTTTAACTTATATGCGGAGGATATTACGAATTAAATTATTAAACAATTAGCTTTTTAAGTAGAGCTGAATGTGAACAATTATAATTTTTAAACTCAAAGATTGCTCGATTTTACTAAAATCAAACATGATATTGTTAGAATATACATTAGGCTAGTTCACAAACCCAACTCAATAATGACACACACCTTAGGTAGTAATTTCACAAAAGTCTAGTTTTTTGATAGCTTAAGGTTTAATTCAGCTATAATATCCTTGAATTTATATTTCGAATATACAATTTAACACGAAAACACTAACCGAGACAAACCTTTGTTGGTTTTACAATTTAATTTCATTTACAAATTTATCTGATAAACAGTAGAGCAGATTTGATAAGTTCAAAAATATATTTTGTAAATACTGTATTATTTGATTAATTACTCAACCATCATCAATCTTGACTGGTTAATCTATCAACAGAAAACTATAAATGGTTAAAAAGTGTATGTAGTATGTAACACACGTAATGCATTATTAATCGTGTAGCCTAATCACTGACGTGACTCATACTGACAGTTCTGTAGTACTATTTGTAAACGTGAATTGAACAGCTGATCTATTAGCTACATCTAAATGCTATCAATGATCAATACCAAGCAGCATGAGGCTTCAGAAATAGGGGGTAGATATGTTAAGGGATATTTTTTTACATTTCAATTATTTGCTTGAATGTTGCTATTCTACTATTTATTTTTAATCAATTATGCTTAACAGATGGTATAACCAAAATGTAGTATAAAATATAAATGAAACATAATAGTTAAAGAGTGTTTATCATCTTGATTCTTTAACAAATAAATAACTAATAATTTTATTTTTGTATATATAATTTTTTTATAATTTTGTATATATGTTTATACCTTCTTGTAATTATTGTACATCAGTATATTTTAAGGTGTTATAACCAGAAACTTTTATTTTTATTTTTCAGATAATCTTATAAACTCTATTCAATTTGACCCAGCATTTCTTCAGCAATATAAACAAGGTATGCTAAAAATTAAAATACTTTTAAGGAACTGAATTGGAAAAAGTGTTAAGTAAAAAAATCTTTAACAACGTTAATCTGATTTTCTAACTTACGATTACCATATAAAACAAAAGTTGAATAGATATTTATAAATTAAGTGGCCCTCATACATTATAAATAATAATTTCTACATACAAATATTGATTTTTTTGACGAATTACTTGCAACTAGAAACGAAAAACTTGGTTACCATAGTTTATATGATACCTCGTATGTACTTTTAATCATGTATAAAAAACTTTCTTACATATAGTGAAATATTATTTAAACCATTCGTATGGAAATTAAAAATGTCATTTTAATCACCGTGTCTAGAAACTGATGCCTAGAAACGGAATACATACAAGACATGTAACTTATACTGAGTATGTTGTGACTCAGCAATCTATTTTGTTGCAAGTTATTTGAAGTATAAACATATTCAGTAATATCTGTTACAAATTCATCTTTAAAAATTCTAAATACATATTTCGTTTCACCTAGCAAAACCTTTATGTTTAGATTGACTTAATATATCTGTCAGTTTATCGTTTGAAAATAGACAAATGATTTCAGATTCATCAAGGAACCACCTGAAGATTGTCTGTGGTAAGAGGAAATACACCAAAGAGTCACAAGACCTACTAAAGAGGTTTCCACCAAATAAGTGGGAGATACACCCCCCACCACAAAAGTACAGGAGTAAATTCTACAAGAAGAATAAGATTAAGACAACTGGAGAAGGCAAGGATGAAGACGAGTTCTCGACAGAGGAGGAGCTGCCAGTTGACCCACCTGACGAAGACCTCCGAGAATGGTTGGAGAGAAGGAAAATGAGGAAGAAGAAAAGAATACTGTTCAATGACTTTCGCACTCCAGCCGAGATGGAAGCGGATTACTATAGTAATCCTGGCCGCTATAACAACTACGGTGTTTAGAGGAGATTAGTTGTTGTGTTTTTTTTTTATTTAGTTTGCTCATTTATTTGCTTGCTTTCCTGAAGTGCTGGTTCAGTTAGTAACACATTCAGTGTACATGTTTCATTCATTCTTGAACAAGAGGAGGCTTGATAATTAATTATCAATGTCTTAGTTTTTTACAATAAATCACAGTATTGTTAGAGAGTAAGCTTAATTGTTTGAAGCAATGCAGCAGTTCATCTTTATTTGTATAGATTATTTTAGGGATTTCCCATATAAGTTATAAGCTATTACTGCAGGCCTCATGGTAAGACCTTTACCCGGGACTGATTTACTTTTTGATGTCCCCAGCGTTAAAAAACCCCATACGTTTAAATTCATATACACTCATGGATAGTCATTTATGTACTTCATGTACGTACACTCATATGGGAGTGCTGGCGGCCACATGCGTGTGTGTTTGTGTCTGTTATCACGATATCTCTAGTAAATCATCCAATTTTATTGAAACTTGGTACAAACGTGTAAGCCTATGTTTATTTGAACGAGTTCACGATTCAGTTTAATCGGATTATGGGACCGAAGTTTTACGGGGTGAAAGTGTTTTTTCTCAATGTCGATCCATGAAGTATTGTTCTTCTATTTCTTCCTGAACCATTTTCAATATTCAATCTTTAAGAAGAACTGGCAATATGAAATGAATACAATTTAAAATAAAAACACCACCGATAATAATGAACATTTAATTTTATGAGGCTTTTTGCCTGTTATCTAGCATCATCAGACACATAAAAAAAAACACATAACAGTTATGGGAGAGGACAAGGTTTAAGAAACTGTGATTCTTTTAATTTATACGGTATGCTATAGCACATCTACCATATCCATAATGTTCTACCACTGCACCTTAACCATAGAAAAAAGTAAAGTTCTCGTTGTGTATCACTCAGCTTTCTGTTGCTAGTTGGTTCAAATTAGATGTTGTCATACATAAAAAAATAAAAAATAATAGTGCTGCACCCTGTTGGTAAACCTTATAACTATAACGTTTAATTGCTATTTAAAATCATAGAGCCAACTTGTGCAGTTACAGCAGGTGTCAAAATTCTTTAATTCCTTTTCAATATGAACTCATGAGGTTAACTTGGCAAACTCAAGAGCCACTAGGGTGGAGCCCGAAAGATTATTTTTAATAAGAATATGCATATATGTTAATCGGGAATATGAGCTATCATCATACCAAATTTCAACCCTGTTGGTTTAGTATTTTTTGCGTTTACTTGTCACAAACATCCTATCCATTCATCCATCCATCCATCCATACATCCAAACTTCCTCACTTATAATAGTAGCAGGATAGCCATTTCTCGGATGTCAGCCCTACCTGTTATCGCCTAGATCATGTCAGCTGGGAAAAGAGTTTTTAAATTGGTGCTCACGTTCAGGACTACTAACATACTGTAGATCTGTGTTAGTAGTCCTGGCTATCTATGTTAGTAGTCTTGGCTATCTATGTTAGTAGTCCTGGTTCAGGCTACTGGTCCATTCTGTTCACACCAATAAGTGTAATGTGAATAGAGAGTCTGCGCACCGTGGGTACAGGGTTACTCTGCAGATTACTACACTGGACAACCTAAAAATGGAATTTACCGCCTGGATGGATTGAAAATGGAGATGACAAAAACAAATGAGAATATATTTTTAAAAATAATTAGTATATTTCATCGTAAAGTGACTCTTTCCCACCCGAGTTCAAGTTTTACAATTTTGTCGATGAGCGAGGATTAAAAAGACACTTTTTACTCGTGTAATGAACAATATTTTTCGTCATATTGCTCCATTATTTAAGCAAAAAACAAATATAATATATATTTACAATTTATAGCAACAAAAATTTTTTTTAATATGTAGGCTACATTTTTTTGGTAAATTACTTCTTACGCAGCTCTGATATGTACAGTATTTTCCAAAAACTTCTGGGTTATGTAACGGTACCAAAACGCCGGCTGTAGTTTTAAAAACTACCTTAACTTAGTATTAATAATACCATATTGATGTAACTAAACATAATGTGAACTAATGAAACTAACAGTTTCAACGGACACTGTACTGAATCAGTCGTTCCATTTACAAATATCTATTGAATCTTATATTTGTTTCCCAATAGATTTCCTGTACTCGATGATCTTACTTCTGATGAAGTTTTCCGCCTGATCGTCATTGTAGTTGTTGACAACATCATCGTCAGGATCATAATCATAGTTGTTTATAACGTACATCAGGTCATCAAAGTCAGGAGGGCGAGCTGAAATATAAAACATAATATAAGATCAGAGAAGCAATGTGATTATGCTGGTACAGTTACATCCGATCTGTTGCAGCGTTACAACGTCAAACAGAGATTGCCTTCTGCTGTACCATCTGTTATGCATATCTTCAGGATCCTAAGAATATGATAGTGCCGACTTTAGTGGGACTATTAGTGTTAGCTTTTTATAATGCAGAGAACAGTACTGTTAATTATAATTACAATTTGCTGTGTTCTCTGATTCTAACTACTGAATAATCCTAAACATTAAACTATTATGTCTCATGTGATAAGAAGAGGATGTAGACAGGAACAGCCAAAGATGTAAAGGTGAATTGCCTACGCGAGGAGTGACCTAGAATAAGTTATACTTACTCAGTTGAATAATCCCTCCTGAGTCATCCTCTTTTTCCTCCTCTTCTTTTTTCTCAGGCTCAGGCTCAGGTTCGTCCTCATTGTCACTTGTATTTTTATAATAATTATGCACAATTTCAGGATAGTCCGAGAGGAACATCATAGACTGTGAATCAAAGTTGCTCTTTTTCTCAAACTCCAAACACATCTGGTACCTCTTCCACTGTTCTTCATATCTCTCACGGCTGTAAGGCCAATCCGGCAGCTCCCACGGTATGTTGGATCCGCTATCAGGGAATTCATCGGGAGGTCTTTTTAATTTAGCTGGAGGAACCATGGGATTTCCAAGTGCGTCTTTTTTCCCGTAATATTTCATAATTTCCTCGTAGGTTGACATTTTTACTCAGTGGATAATTCAAAATGGGAGACTAACAGAACGCCTGCAAAGCGTAAAATTGGAATTTGATTACTGGCTATAATGTTTGTAAACATCCGTTGATATTTTCTTATCTATTAAACTAATTTGTTATCGTATTTATACGTAGGAATATATTCAAAACAAATAGACAGCTCTCCACATTATACCAATGTTTTTGTGTAGTAGACCACTACGGCCGCAGGGGTCCTTGCCCCCGAAACAAGTCATTACTGTTGCGGACTTGAAGTCTGGCGATGAAGACCCTTTACAACAATATACAAATACGTGAATTATACAAATATTATGGAGCCGGATGATTGAAAACATTTAATTCCCACACGTTAACAAGAGCCAGTTCTGATGTATTACATAACTTTTTTTAAAAGAGGTTGGCGGCTTCTTTTAACCTTTCATTTGCCCGTCCACATAGACTACAGATCCAGCAAAGCAAGGTGTGAGCCGAAACAATACAAAGGTGAACTGTACTGATAAAAGTTAGTGGCAGTGACCAGGATCCAAACCCACTACACTACTGCCTTGGTCCCAAAGTCCGCGACGCTACCGACTGAGCCACCGACTCACCACCAACTGACCACCAAGAGCGTGTTGTTGAGGTCGAAAGAAGCAAAGTCGCTGGAGATGAATTAAAAGGAACGCGTGAGTCCAAACCACGTCAATCATTCCCTAACCTAAAATTTAAATAGTTATACTTCGAAATTATGAACATCAAAAACACAATGTCATACAGATGATAATTTTTGTCGAAAGCAAAATAAGGTTGTATTGAACATGTAATACACAACGCCATTCGGCCTACTGGAATCCTCTTGAGACCTACAGGTAAAGCAAGATCAATATATCCAATAGCCGAGGCTGAGAAAAGAATTTTAGCAGCCAAGCAGACGTTTAGGGTATATTTCTTAGATTTAAACGTACGTATATCAGAAAACATAAATTCTTTCACCTTGGGTACTGTCAGATAACGGTCTTCTGAAATGTTGGACCCGAAGGATGAAATACGAGGATAAGGAAGACTGTAAGCTTAAAATATGAGGGGTGGCAAAAAACTGAACCATTTTTATCACTCCTTCTGCTCCATTTTTTCGGAGTTCTACTCCAAGACCAACCTGGACGAGGAATAATTGCCAACATTGGAGCTGCAGAGACCGGACAAAGGTACTCAGAAGCGTAGATGCCCGTTTATCCACACACTCCAGTTAAATGTATTTAAAACTATAACAATGATGACCCGTTTTTCCTGCACGATAAGGTAAAATGTCAGTAAAAATCATGCAGTCTAAAAAGTGAAGTTTAAATACAACCGCATTTAAACCAGGTTTGAAAATTAAGGTCATGAAACATTTATATCTTAGAAACCTTTTTCTATAGATTTTTTCTTTAATGCCTTCTTTGAAAAAAAAAACACAAGTAAAGTTGAATGTTTCCATTTTGGCTTGTTGAAGAAATATTTATTACTACACAAGTGGATAAATGTAATGTTTTACAAATTTAAGTGTGATAATACGATCATTATTTGTTTTGTTGAACTATTTTTAAATACTAATGATTTTAATTCTACATAAATATGAAATGCTTGGTATGTGGATATTATTTTCTTTGTATGGTGATTTATTTTTCCTTCTTTCAATTGTTCTCTAGTCTGAATTTGGATTGAATAAACAACTATAAAAGTATTTGAAAAGTGTTTAAAAAATATGAATAATTTATACTATCAACTAAGTACAGAACAAGTTCAAAGGTCTTTGTAATCACATCAAAATAATTATTCTAGTTAAGGAGCAGCAAGGAACACAATAATTTCAAATAATGTGTGAGTTTTTTTATAATTTATTTAATGTATTTAACAACAATGATTTCCTCTGTTAAGTGAATTTAGGAACTAATAGTTGATTTCACAATTCCCTAACTTACTACATAATGGTGTCTTTTACGAAATGAAAGCCGATCTAAAGTAAAATGTTGTACATTACTTTAATCATGACATACAAATAGGCATACTTAAATGGATTATTTAAAATCTATACACCTAATACGTAACAAGCTATTCTCAAAAGTTCAGGTTTTTTACACATCTTTTCTTTTAAAGCAATTATATACATTTATTTTCTTCTTCTTACCCAAAATGTATTGTGTCAAAAGTTGTTGTTATTGTTTATTGTTCTCTTTACCCTATACACGTTGTGATTACCATTGCTAAAGGTTTTGTCGTATCATGTTATTGTTGTTTTATAAAATTATTGCATTATTGAACAAACAAACGCAAGTATGTGTGATGGGTTACCACATTAAGCTAGGGTTTCCAAGATCATGCCAGCGTGATCTGTCCGACGTGATGTCCGTAGTCGCTAATTTTTACCTTTTAAGCAGACCTTTTTGCCTCTATCCACCCTTTCTAGCCGGGCCTGTCCCCCCCGTACACCCTCCGGTATTTTTCTTTTTTCTAAACATTTTTTACGTACTTTCATGATGTTAGTTAACTTAAAATAGCTTTTACAATACTATCTAAATGTTTGCATATAGCTACGAAAATATCAAAGTAAAATAACAGACTTTGTACTTGCTTAAAAAAGTTGACAACACAGTGCTGTACTTTCCCCTTTTCTCAAAGCTTCTAAATACATGAAACACGTGAGGGCCAGAAACTGTTTCTACTCATTTCAACACAAAAGTCAGATTACACTGAACAACTGGTTGAGCAACCCTTAAGAAGGGAATGCAGTACAAATAGTACAAGGTTCATGGTAAAGTATACAGTTCTAGTTGTAAGGTTAAAGCCTTACAATATTATTTCATCCATTCAGATGACGTGAACCTCCCAAACAGATGCTCCGGGACATAGTCCTCCACTGTCTTCTCGTGCGAATGCTCATCATAGTGTTCTTCTTGAGCGTCATCGACAAAATCTGAAGTGTCATCAAAACCTCCAGCATAAACATTTTTCAAAGACACTCTGGTTTTGAAGGTTCTTCTTTGTTTACCATTCCTGCCGTACCGTATTCCTCTCTGCTTCAATTCGTTTATTTTTGTCATTCGCATTCCTGTTTTGGGTTTCTTCGGTTTCCAATTCACAATCTGTTTTCCTCTTGCGTCTTGTCTTAGTCGCACGTCCTCACAAGTGTCACTCATGTAGTCCGAAGGGAGATCTTCGAGCCCTGCGTGTTCATCTTCGAACATATGGCTAGGTAAAAAAGGTTGTCTGTTTCTTGCTTTCCCACTTCCTTCAAATTTATAATAAAACATTGGACCTTTCTCCTGAGGTTTTGGATTCTTAATTTCTAAGCCCAACTGACCCGAATAGTCCATCGAATTGCCGGTTTCTAAGAGAGACATTAGAATAATAGTTGGAACTATGTATTTACGGTTTGATAATGTGTACGTTAAACTAGCCTGCTTCAACAACGTTTAAACTCCTCCCAATGCATTTTCACAACATAAAAAGTTATTTGATTTTATAATTCTATCTTGGTACCCACTATTTGAAGTGTTATCTTGAAATACAGCTAAGTAGACTTTTAGTTATCAGTGTCGTAATTTAGGACCTATACTTTGCATGGTAATATAATAATACTTGTACTTAACTTGTCATTTAGGTTTTTACTTTAAATGGCCAATAATTATTTTAAAACTTTAAGAAAGAAAATATTATGTAGCCTATTCCGTTTTTTGGTGTTCTGTTTTTGGTTTTCAACAGGGTAATCATAATTTAATGAATCATATCGATAAACTACGACCCAACTACGATTTTTCACTGTGTTATCAATTGATAATGATTTCTGACATTAGATCAACGTTAGATAGTAACAAGACCAGGATTTGGACGGTTTCCTGGCGTGGATAGAAGCATAGAAAAATCATAGCTGATTTATTACTTTTTTGAAATCATATCAAATCCCCAAAAAAACTTTAAAAAAATTCAAATTTAGTTATTATACTTACCATTCTATTTTAAGCTCTCCTTTGACAAGGAATGTTTATGAGAAGATGAAACGGTATAATTTTCTCTGATCTCTTTTGTTTTGTTTGTTGATGCCTTTATAAGCTTAAGCTATAACCTGATATGACCTGTTTTACACTCATTTGTAGTTAGTTTTTGTCGGGATCTTCAAACGGAGGTTGAGTGTTCCTGGTTTTTATTTTATTTCGCTATTCGAATATCTTGTTTCTCACTTATTCCAAACTATAATTTTGTTTTATCGTAGCACATTTATTTAGAATTCAAGGTGACATGTGTATCAGTCAGTTCGCCACAAACAGTAATCACCTTTAACAGTAAGTCGTATGAATGCTTGAGAAACTAATTTATAGTCATTATTACACGTTATGTTGTATAACTGTATTGGGCATTACAGTGGGTTCATTAAAAAAGTCTAGATCACGGTCTAAGCGTTGAGTTGACGAACTTTTCTACGTTTTTACTGTGTAACTGTTTTAACGAATGGTCAGAATCATACATCATTGGCTCGTCGTCCAAGGGCACGGGACTAATTCCATACATGTTGTTGGTATCACTCATGGAATACATTCCAGAACTCGCACCGAATTTATGGTCTGTATGATAGTGAGGTATATGTCTCAGATCGGGATCTATTTTACTTTTTAAATACGGATCATCAAAGAACTCTTTCATGTCCTTCCTTTCTTTGGCTCTGCGCTTTTTCTTCTTCATGGCTTTGATTTTATTTCTCCTTTCGGTTCTAGGCGAAGACGGTGACACATCTTTCTTAGTTTGTGAATTCTTGGGTTTTGGTTGATTAGTCAGTATTTTTATTGCTTTATCATCAGTCATTCCAGAGAATTGTTTTGAGAAGCCGTCTTGTGTCGACATGGGTGGTGTTGTTTCTGAAGGGCTTGCTGAATTGGCTTGTGAATTCTCCATTTCCAAACAATTGGTTGTTTCTCTGGTATTTGAAATACCAGTATTGTCTTTATCTTCTTTCTTTGGTGCTGAAGAAGCTGTTATGGCGTCAGTTAAAGTTTGTATCTGAAGTTTCAATTCCTCAAGCT